GGATGGAATACCTACATCAGAATCTGAATTTGTCGTTGTTTCTTAGCTTCAATGTACGGATGTGTTTATTCAAAAACTATGTGTCTTGTTGAAAAAACTTCTTCGAGTGTCGATGCAGGACTCCCATTTCAGGTATAGGAATGGGATTGGAGTCTTCCAAGTTCTTGAATTGGTTTTCACTTGGAAAGCAAATTGGTTCTGTTCCAGTTAGTAGAGTGTTTGCTCCTTCTCTAGCTAGATTCGCTTTCTATTTTTAGTGGGCTGGCACCCAGAGTAGGAAAACTTTTTTTTCTTTGTCTAATTTCCAAGATAGTAGATAGTATACCGATGTTCCGGGATCCGGGACAACTGAGTATCTAAATTCGGGATTTTCCCAGAAATCCAGGATGTCTGGCAACAATAATTAGGAATGAAAAAATATTTCTCCTTTCTACAATTAATTACTACTATGCGCAATATTATTTCTTCAAATCTATATAGATATTTTTTAGAATAATATAACATAAAAATTAGGAATGCAAACAGTATTCGCTAGCAAAACATAAATTTACATCAATAGCAGAACATCGATGTTATGCTGTTGAAGTATCAATTCGATTTTATTGTCTAAGTGTACCTACTCACATATCAAATAAATAAACAGGAAAGAACTTTCATATTCATATTGATTCTGGACGACATGTGATATACACAGTGTGAGTAAACAGTTCATATTTGTCCAAAATTGCGAATGTGTCATCAACATCATAACCAATAGTTCCTATTTATTCGATATATTAATATTGTGGTTTTGAAGTACCTAAAAATTAAACCACTGAACCACTCCATGTAAATTTTGGCCTATAAAGCAATGATTTCATAACTGTTTATTTAACCTTCTTTCTGTCTGGAATGAGATAAAGGGGTAGTGGACTTGGAAAGATGCATTTTTGAGGCAAATATCATGTATTATGTCCTATAAAAATTTTGGTGCCCTATACTAAAAAATATATCTTTCTCTTCTATAAGGTGTAATTTGTAGTACACATGTTGTTTTTAACATACAGGGTGGTCCGAACTGTATTCCGGAAACTTCGGCAGCGTATTCTGCAGATACAAATAAGTAAAAAAGTTCGTATAAATGTATGTCCTAAAATGCTTAGTTTCAGAGATAGCGGGTGTAGAAGTTTCATTTTTATTTAGATTTTTTCCAAATAACTTCTGAAGTAACGTCAATATTTGGATGAAAATTGGTGTTTAGGAGTTTTTTTGACATGTGAAATTTGATTTTGATGTAAATATTACTCCTACTGGTAGAGGGCGCCACCTACATGTGTTTTAACTGTTTTGAAGCGTAATAACTTTTTGTCCGTACCTGTATAAAATTACCGAGGGAAAAAATATACATCTCTACACTGATAAAAAAGACAGACTTGAACTAAAGTCGTCATCGTTCTTGAAAAAAAAATTTAGTGGCAAGAGAATTTATTTTAGCGTAAAAGAAAATATTTTGCCTGAAGAAAAACTTTCTTAACTCAAGAAAACTGGTTCTCTTGAAAAATTCGAAATTTTCTCCTGAATCTATTGGTTTAAGAAAAGTGTCTCTTTAATCAAGAAATGTCCCTTTTCAATCAAGAATTTTTGCACGAATCAAAGAGACTATTGTTCTTTTAGCTAGAACTTCTTTTCATATTCATTTTGGGTCAAGAGTGAAATACTTTGGACAAATAGATTCTTCTATTCTCTAAAGTAATTTTTTAAAGCTTATGAAAAGATAGTTAATGCTTTGGGCAAAGAAAAGTCGTTCTTGGCCCTATTGAAAAGCGCCAATCTTTTGGGTCAAAGTCATATTCATTTCGACTGAGAGATCCTTTTCTTCAGTGTGTGACTTTTTACATAAAAAATATATCTTTGTAAAAATTGCTACGAGCAACCGTTCTCAAAATATTTAGAATGGATATAGTCAATACATGTCATTATTGACGAAAAATAAACACGTTGAGTAGATATCGTTATTGTACTGAAATAATAACATTTTGGAAATTTTTATTTTTTTTAAATTAATCATAATTTTTTCGGCAAAAAAATGATAAAAAACAGTTTCTGTTGAGTGTTTTTGTTGTTTTTGGCACAAAAACTCTGAAATTTATGATCTAAGTCTAATAACTATTTAGTCAACATGTTTAATTTATGTCAATGATGACAGCTATTGATAATTTCGATTCCAAAAATATCTCGAAAACCATTACAGGTAGCAATTTTTACCAAGAGACATTTTTTGCGTAAAAAACTTCGTAAACGTATATTTTTTTTACTCAGTAGTGTTATACAGGTACGGACGACAAGTTATTACTCTTCAAACCTTTTAAAAAATATGTAGGTGCCGCCCTCTACTAGTAGGAGTCATATTGACATCAAAATCAATTTTCTCATGTCAAAAAACTCCCAGACACCAATTTTCATCCAAATATTGACATTACTGCAGAAATTATTATGAAATTAAAATAGAAATAAAAATGAAACTTCTACACCCTGTATATCCGAAACTAAGCATTTTAGGACATACATCTATACGAACATTTTTACTTATTTTTATCTGCAGAATATGCCGCCGAAGTTTCCGGAATACAATTCGGACCACCCTGTATATGGGGGTAATAATAGTGCCTTATGTAAGAGATAGTATAATTAGACAAACATATATTTTTAGACCAACATAACAGAGGAGATAATATATAGAGAAGAACAAACAAAGAAGCTAACAACAGATAAAGGAAAGTCCTAGTTAAATACAAAAAAGTAAGAAAATATAACGGCATTTTTCTTTATCTAAAGTAAGCGGTACTCTGGTAGGAGAAAAAATTTAAATTTTTTCACACAGATTTTAAAACGGTAAATCTGTAACAAAAGTTTTGTAAAATTATCCCACGAATCCGTATAAAAAAGTTTAAAATTTTCAACTTATATATGAATGTAAATGTAATGCACCTAACTTTTCGGTTTTACATGAATTTTGTTTATAATCTTTATTGATGCAAAGCTTTTAGCCTATTTCTAGGTAAGGAATGCACAATAAAACCGCCGCCATAACTTTGCACATACATTAAAGTGCATCCGCATAAAATACCTGAAGCTTTCTATTCAATTATGGCAAAAAGGCAAATCCACAAATGGAAAATACATATTTTATCGGCTTCAATGAAAAACGTAACAGTCCATTAATGCCTCTAAAGAGAAAAAACTGTGTGGAATATTTCATACGTACATAGTAAGGTATGTTAAAAAGGTCAGAGCCTTGAAATATTTAGAATATTTTATTTTCTAATAGAAATAAGCGATTTGTATCATTATTTTAATGGTAATTAGCGGTTATATCATATTTCAGACACCTGGTAGACTGTAATAATCCACCTTTTTTCCAATAGTTCATTATACTGAGATTTTTTTTTTGCTTTTTAAATATTCTATAATTTCTGTAAATACCTACTTCCTTTTGGGTATTCTTTCCCTTCGGTATTTGTCTACTTTATTAGATAAAGAATCACACTCTGAATAGAATGACATCATATGTCAACTTTTGACATTTTCGCATATGGTTTATTTGGTATTGTAACATGCGGTTCATAACGACAACTTGACTCGAAATACCAAGTGTGTGGTACCAAATTATTCGTAAAAAATGTTTTTTCCAAATATGCTAATGAGCCACCATTGTTCCATTTGACGATCAAATCTTTTTTTTTCAAGATTTTTGCCAGGCTCCTTGATTAAAAATTAGTGTTTTTAACACAGCCACGGCACTCTAGATTGAAATTTAAAATACGATTTTTTTAAATAAAAATTTCAAAAGTTGACATATGATATGTCGTTCTATTCAGAGTCTCATTTTCTATCGAATAATGTCAAAATATACTGAGGGTTCATTTGCATTTGAAAATCAAAAATTGTAGTCATTTTCGGTGAGACAGGAAGTGACTGAAAACAATTGAATAGGTTAATCAATCCTAATATATGTCATAAACTAACATGTCAAATCTCGTTTTTTTTTACTGAAAAAATAAAAGTTATAGAGGTGAACCCAGTTTTTTTTAATATTCCAGTGATAACCCGATAACCCATATATACATTTATCCCTGGTAAATCTGTCGACACTTTTTAAGCATTAAAAGATGTATTACCTACTTGTGGTAACTTACCTATACGGTAATATTAGGTAATATTACGGTAACATTAGTAATTTACAAAAAAACGCTTTTTACATAATATTAGTTTTTTTTATTTCCAAACTGCAGAAACATTACAAAATAAGACAGAGTGGCCTATGTTATAGTACATAATAGAGTGGATAATGGTAATTCGTCCTCAATCTTGTCATAATATGGTACTTCTTTCTAATTGAGCCAAGTCTATTACTGCCAAATCGATATATTCTTCTTCCATTTCTTTCTCAGAAGCCTCTCCCATTTTTGGATGTTCTTCGCCATTTAGTAAATTATAATTATGGGCAAGTTTCCCGGCCTTTTCTACAGTTTGTTTCTACTTGACCGATGGACAAATCCATAAGCACTAAAGATTTTTTCGGTTGCCGCTGTTTACGATGGTAAATTTGAATTGCCTATAGCCAACATACTTATTTTAGGGCTGGAGCAAATTCCTACTCCAGACATAGATTTTTCCCTGGAGAGGACAAATTCTTTAGCAAAAATATTACCTCTAATTTTGTATTGTGCCAGTCAGTGCTTCCATAACGAGATCAACTTATCAAAAATACTTTGGATAATGCCTTGCAGTTTCATAGGTGAACTCAGTTACTTGCTCGTTTTTCCAGAATTGCACATGTCAAGGATTACGGATCTGTGGCGGAATACATGTTTCTGTGGCGGAGAGTTATTTTATTGTTGCCAACTTCACATGCGACCACAGACCACAGATAATAGTTTTGATATTTAGTGACATGTAACATTACTGTATCTATTAACTTATATACTCTTTGTATCATAAAAGATTTGTAACACGTTTAATTTAAAGAAAAACCGATTATTTATTTTGGAAGACATAAATTACCCAGAAATAGTTCACTCAACGTTAAAATAAACCGAACATTGGTCCTTCGAGCCGGATGGTCTCAAGAAGCAAGGAAATTGGTCAGAAAAGCCGACAAGAATCAAGTGAGTCCCTTTTTGTCCTTTTAACCTTCATTACCGTAGTGAGATCATAATCATTTTGAACTGTAGCTTTGTGGAATTTATTGTCTTTATAGCGAATTAGGTTTAAACCAGTTTTAAACAAATACGATTAAAAACAAACAGCTTATTATCGATATGACAGAAATCGAGAGATTAGTACGGAGACGAGCAGCCTTTAAGGCTCAGATAACAATCCTAAACAATTATCTAAACGAGTTAGAGGGTAAGTTTATAAATGCTAATATAACCGACGATATAATACTTACAGAACTATCACAGCGTAAAGATCGATTTATCAATTTAATTGAGAAACTTGATGAGGTACAATTGCAAATAGAAGAAATTACCACAAATTTTGATGTAGAACTAGATGAACGCACAGCATTTGAATCAGATTTCAATAAAACATTAGCACGAGCAAGGTATTTCTTGCAGAAAAGTAAAACGACTAATATTGAACAAGACAATGATAATCTTTCTTCTCAAAGATCAGAAACGGGTCCTGATAATGTGGCCTTATGTCAAAATTTAAATAACCTCAAACTCCCAGCCATTGAAATTCCTACTTACGATGGTGATTACGATACTTGGCTTGAATTTAGAGACACGTATGAGTCACTAATTCATACAAATATTAATTTATCTGATATACAGAAATTCCATTACCTTAGAGCATTTTTGGGTCCGCGTGTAAGAGAGATTATTGCTAGTTTGGCATTTTCTGCTTTAAATTATAAACCTGCTTGGGAATTAATTTGTAATCGTTTTAATAATAGTCGTATCTTAAAGCAAAATCATGTTAAAGCCTTGTTTAATCTCAATCAAATTCATGAAGAATCATCTCAAGCTTTAAGAAAACTTATTGACAATGTATCTAAGCATTTAAGAGCCCTCACCATTTTAGACGAACCTACAAACACATGGGATACATTGGTAATATATTTAATTTCTATAAAACTAGATAATGAGACATTAAAGCATTGGGAGGAAGCAAAATCTGGTTATGTAAATCCAACTTTAGACAATTTAACCACATTCTTGAAGCATCGAGCAGACATGTTGGAAACATTGGAACAAAGTAAGAATTCTAAACGAGTCATTCCAAGGTCAAAGGGTGACAATAAAACAAAAGCCTTTGTTGCATCAAAACCGTACTGTGTATATTGCAAAAAGGACCATTACATTCAAAATTGTGAGGCATTTGTAAGGTTATCAATCGAACAAAGACGAACACAAGCAATGAAGAATCACTTGTGTCTTAACTGTTTAAGGTTGGGTCATACAAGTAAAATGTGCTATGCAAGTTCCTGTAAAACCTGTAATGCTCGACATAATACCTTATTACATGAAGAACGAGTATCCAGTTCAGAAAACGAACAGACAGTTAATTTATCATCACATATTAATTTTAATGGAGATCAGGTACTTCTTTCAACAGCATTACTAAAGATTTTTGATAAAAATGGGAAATGTCATGTAGCACGGGCACTTTTAGACTCAGGTTCTCAAAGTAGTTTTATAACCGAAGACTTTTGTAATAAGTTACAGTTTGATGTAATACCAACCAAGATAACAGTAAGTGGTTTGAGTGAAGCTCAATCTAATGTGTCAGGAAAGATTTCTATACAAGTACATTCTAAGGTAAACAACTTTTCATTTAAAAATTCTTTTCTAGTTATAAGAAACATTACAGAAACCTTGCCTAATTTTAAAATTAATATCAAAAATTTGAACATTCCAGACAATATTAAATTGGCAGATCCTCATTTTTATAAGCCAGAGAGAGTTGATGTGCTTTTAGGAGCTGACTGTTTCTGGAACCTTATGTGTGTTGGACAAATCAAGTTAAATAATGGATTATTATTACAAAAGGGTAAATTAGGTTGGGTTATTGCAGGACGTATGCAGTCAAATCCTTGTACCACGACAATACGTAATTTTTCTAAAGCTAATGACATTGACAAGCAGCTCACTCGTTTCTGCGAATTAGAAGAGTTTCGACACTCCAAACCACTGTCAAACGAAGAAAAATTGTGTGAAGAAGAATTTGTAAGGACTTTCAAACGTGACAGTGAAGGACGCTTTGTAGTAACTATTCCTCTAAAACAAGGTCCTGAAGTCCTAGGCGATAAATACGATATAGCAAAACCAAGGTTTTTATCTCTAGAACGAAGATTTAAACGAGATCCTGAATTCAAGAAACGTTATATCAATTTTATTAACGAGTATAAAAATATGAAACATATGTCCAAGATAGAACATCCAGATAATGCAACTTTTAGTTATTACATGCCCCATCATGGCGTTATAAAAGAATCAAGTTTGACTACCAAGTTACGGGTAGTATTTGATGCTTCATGTCCAAGTAGTAGTGGATATTCTTTTAACGATTTGCAACTTGTTGGACCTACAATCCAGTCAGATTTATTCTCACTCCTGCTGCAGTATCGAACGTACAACTATGTAATTAGTGCTGATATAGAGAAAATGTAAGGATGTGTCGAGTAGACCCACAACAGAAACCATTACAAAGAATTTTGTGGCGTGAAACACCTGATGAGCCACTCGAAATTTATGAATTAGACACAGTAACCTATGGCACATCTGCAGCGCCATATTTAGCCATTAGATGTTTATATCAGTTAGGGGTGGAAATAGAAAAAACTAATCCCACAATAGCAAATGTAATACAAAACCACTTTTATGTTGACGATTTGTTGAGTGGTGCTGATACAATTGAAGAGGCTATTAACATAGTAACAGAGATATCAAAGGTCCTTAATACAGCAGGTTTTCGTCTTCGTAAATGGATATCTAATAATAATACAATACTTCAATCACTGAAAGAAAGAAATGAAGCAGATACACTTGATCTAGGTGTAAACGAACTAACCAAAACATTAGGCGTGACGTGGAATGGAAAGGAAGACTGTTTTCTTTATAAGATTGGAAATAGTTTTAATAAACATATTACAAAACGAACTGTCTTGTCAGAAATAGCTCAGATTTTTGATCCAATGGGTTTACTAAGTCCATGTATAATTGTGGCTAAAATTATCCTAAGAGATATTTGGATAGAAAAACTTGACTGGGATGAATCTTTGTCACAACCCTTACATACGAGATGGCTAAACTTTAGAAACGAATTAAGTAATCTGAATAATATCAAAATTCCTAGACAGATAACGTGTAAACACGCAATCAACATTGAAATTCATGGATTCAGTGATGCATCGTCTTACGCATACGGAGCCTGCGTGTACTTAAGATCGCAAAATGAAGAAGGAAAAATACAAACAAGATTGATTTGTGCTAAATCAAAAATAGCTCCATTGAAGGTTCAGACGATTCCACGTTTGGAATTAATTGGTGCTTTACTGCTATCACGCCTAATAAAAAAAATATTAGAAGCAACCAAACTAGTACCAAGTAGAATAGTATATTGGTGTGATTCTACAATAGTTTTGGGTTGGCTTAATATGAGTCCAAATCAACTACAAGTGTTTGTAGCTAACCGAGTATCAGAACTTCAGACAATCACAAACGTAAGCGACTGGCGACATGTTCCATCCAGTCATAATCCAGCCGATTTGGTGTCACGTGGTGTAAGACCCAAAGAATTACCATTTTCTAATCTTTACTGGTTTGGTCCAGACTGGTTGAAATCAACTGAGGACATATGGCCGCATACTCTTGAAATCAATGTAGAGTTACCAGAATTACGTAAGGTTACATTGATGGAAACGGTATTTATCAGTGAACCAATAATCGACTTTAATAATTATTCTAATCTATCGCATTTGGAACGTGTTTTAGCATACTGTTTACGATTTATTACAAATTGTAAAGCTAAAACAGGAGAAAGAAGCAAGGGAGCCTTAAACACACAGAAATTGCAAATGCTCATTTATATCTAGTAAGATTTGCTCAGCATGAATCATTTGCGGAAGAAATATTTCAGCTTCAACAAGGTGAAATTAAAAGAGGAAGATTATCCCATATTCAGCCATTCTTTGACAAGGACAAGACAATGCGAGTGGGTGGTAGATTATGTAATGCAGATCTGGACTTCAACCGAAAATTCCCAATTATCTTAAGCTCGAAACATATATTTTCTAAATTACTATTTGATAGAGAACACCGGCGTTTATTACACTGCGGACCTCAACACCTTTTAGCATCAATTCGTCAATCATATTGGCCCCTAGGAGGACGTAATTTAGCAAGAAAAATATATCGAGAATGCGTTAAATGTTTTAGAACGCACCCGAAATCAAGTGTTCCTCTAATGGGAAATTTACCAAAAAATAGAATTACACCAGCCCCAGCATTCTATAGAACAGGAGTAGATTATGCGGAGCCATTTTCAGCAAAGGATAGGCAAGGACGTGGATGCAAGATTACAAAGGCTTACATTGCTTTATTTGTTTGTTTTGTGACTAAAGCCATACATATCGAACTTGTTTCTGATCTAACTAAGGAAGCATTTTTAGCATCATTTAAACGCTTTATTGCTCGACGTGGAAAACCGTTTCAAATGTTTTCAGACAACGGCACAAATTTTGTGGGTGCTAATTTTGAAATGCAACGTTTATATAATTTCTTACAAGAAAATAATAAATCTTTGTCTGAACATATAGAAAATGAAGGAGTTAGCTGGTCTTTCATTCCATCTCGCTCACCTCACTTTGGAGGCTTATGGGAGGCAGGAATTAAATCTGTCAAATGTCATTTAAAGCGCGTAGCGGGTAATGCATTACTAACTTTTGAACAATTTTACACGCTATTAGTTCAGATTGAGGCTGTTCTCAATTCTCGCCCTTGAGCCCTTTATCCAACGAACCCTCAGATTTAACACCTCTTACTCCCTCTCACTTTTTAATCGGCCGACCATTAACGTCATTACCTGAACGAGATCTCGTAGAAATACCTGAAAACCGATTATCAACATATCAACGAATCCAGCAGCTACAACAACATTTTTGGTCCCGGTGGTCGTTAGAATATATTTCCGAGCTCCAACAGCGGTCCAAATGGCAGCAAAAGGTGAACCCCATTAAGATTAATGACTTGGTGGTCATTAAAGAAGAAAACCAACCCCCTTTAAAATGGTCCTTAGGCAGAGTTATAGAAGTCCACCCAGGGAAAGATGGAACTGTTCGTGTAGCTACAGTGAAAACCAGCACAGGTACAATCAAACATTCATGTGTGAAGCTGTGTCCTCTGCCAAATCAAGCAAAATAAGAAGTCACTTCAAGATACATTCCCTCCATCTATGTTTCGATGATGAAAGTGGATGTTGAAAGGAAAATGTCCTTTCAAGGTGGGGAGTATGTCAAGGATTACGGATCTGTGGCGGAATACATGTTTCTGTGGCGGAGAGTTATTTTATTGTTGCCAACTTCACATGCGACCACAGACCACAGATAATAGTTTTGATATTTAGTGACATGTAACATTACTGTATCTATTAACTTATATACTCTTTGTATCATAAAAGATTTGTAACACGTTTAATTTAAAGAAAAACCGATTATTTATTTTGGAAGACATAAATTACCCAGAAATAGTTCACTCAACGTTAAAATAAACCGAACAGCACACATTTTCTTGTTGTCCGATCTAGCAACCGATGAATCTGATACTTTGCTACATAATATAGACTTTATTTCAAAAAAGCGGGTAAAAACTTTTGAGATTGTTGGCCCGTTAGCTTCAAAAATCGTTATCCACTTACAGATTGCATTAAACAAGTCATAAGTTGCTTGTATTTGTAGCCAAAATTCGTTCGTGCCCTCAGAGAGCTTACTGTGTTTGGTGAAAGAACATCAGGAATATCTGGGTTACCATCAACTGCTAAGCTTTTTAATGAGTGTTTAGTGTCCAAAAAGGACTCTTTAGACAAGAAATAAAGCAGCTCCATCTTGTTTTCATAAAAAAAGGAAAAGAGTAGAGCGGGAAAAAACAATATATCCAATATTACCAATCTTGCGGTACAAATTTCCGGTAATATTACCCTTTACATCACTAGGCACAGGCGATACATTTTTTGAAACCTCGCCCAAATGTCAGCCAGTATTTACCAAAAAGTGGTGTCAACGGTATGCTATTGAAAGTCTTTCTTACTTTCTTAAAAAATTTATACTCAAAACTTGCTAAAATAAAACAAACCATTTTCAACAAAACTTTTTTAAGCATAAGCTAACACTAAATAAACATAAAATAGTTAAACAATTTTATCGCTTCCACAAATTTTCTTGCACATAAATATTTCCACGTTTTCTTTTCTATACAAACGAATGGGAGGTGGGAGAGCGAAACACACAGATTACCAATTTTTTAAAGCATTGCATTGTGGCGATAGACAAATATTTTTTAGATTTTGAGTTTGGTCTGGTTTGGTATGTAAAAAAAGGACTTTTTTAATGCGTGAGGGAAAAGAGGTCAGTGAGATCAAAAAGGGGACTGACCTCTGGCATAGAGGACGGTTGGCAACCCTAGCTTACGCTAACTTTGAAACGAATGCACCGAACATTTAAATACAGCAAAAAAAATTACTTATACCTGCTTTTTTCTCCTGACTTTTGAAATTTTCAAACATAATTATAATAAAATAATTCAATAACTATTGTTATTCACAACTAATATAATTTACATTGGAGAGTTACCACGAGTTAATTGAGTTTCAGATCATAATTGTTTTTACTTTTGGAACGAATATTGTCTTGTCAGTCACCTATGCAAAATTCACGAAAAAAAGAAATATAACACATTAAACAACACTGCTAGTAAATTTAAGCAAACAAGTGCAAACATTGGCGTAACTACAGGGGGGCCCGGGGATGGCGGGCCCACTCAAAGCACTGCTGGGCACCTCCCACAGAAATCTTGAATTTTGACTTTGTTATCACTTTTGGCTAAATATTAATTGTTATTTGCTTATAATGATGTAGTAAAAATGCCTTTTTCCGGTTATGTTTATTTAATATTATTTTGTTTTGTTCAAAAAATGTGTGTTAGTTTTTATTTTTTTACAAAATTTGTAGGTATTTAAATAATCCATGGGAACACAATTTGAAAACCAAGTCTATCAAATTTATTTAATAGAGAAATTCATGTAAACGTTTTATTCAAAAAATGTGTTTATTTTTTAATATTATTATTATTTTCATATTATTAGTTCTTCGTTTTTTAAAAATCATCAGGATGAATTGCTAGTTACGCTGATGAGTGCAGACACACGTATTATTATCAATTATGATTTTCGACTTTCATTGTGATTTTAACTTTCAACCGTCTAATGTAAAATTAAGGTCCTAGTCATAACTTACCTAGAATATTGCAACTGTTTGCACAAAATTATAAAGCGTCAATTAATCTCTATTTCTATAGGACGACCAAACTTCTTATGTCATTTAAATCTAGTTTTGACATAAACGGAAGAAAAACAAACAATCCAACACGCTAATATCCTTTTTGTAGCCACGGTGTTTGTGTGTATTATACAAGCTGTTTATCTTTAAATACCCAAATAAAGGCCAACGCTTTGTCAAAACACCATTCAATGCTCGCCCATGTTATTTTATTTGTCTTTTTAAGTAGCAGCGGTACAATAGGATTTATTTTCGTCCATTCGGCTGCTTCAAGATCTCAGAGTACTCATCGACAAATATACAAAGTAAACTATTTACGAGTATCGGTACGATCTTATGTAAATAGGTTAACTGATCTTTCGGGCTTTACGAACGACTTAAAAGTTATGAGAATGGACTACCTCTTAGAAATGTTTATGACAAGAGTATGCAAAAATGCCTGCATTAGTTTATTATTTGGCAATTAAACTAAGCAAACGCAAGAGAAATGTTTTCCTCATTCCCAATTTTTCAGTTCCTGTACTTTAGAGTGTGTAGACTTAACGGAACCCCATTTAAATATCCGTCTTCAACGCAAAATTGACTTAAATCATCTATAATAATTACAATAATATTCAAGCGTCTCATTCTACATCTGAATTTTTAGTTTTCAGTTGCTAGAGAAATTACAGGGTGTTTCAAAAAACATGTGCCATCTCTCTTGGTGAGAGATTCCTCATGTAATAATAAGATTTATTTTTCATATCAACATAGGTCCGATTCTTCTTTGTTCCGTAGCTACTGGGTGTTAAAGTTTTAATATTTTTTTGATTTATTATAATTTTCTTCCAAGTACTTTTAGCGTTTCTAATAAACTTTTGGGGGTAAAGGTAACTATAAATGCGACATATTTTAAAGCTAAACGACGTATTCACCAGGAACGTGCATATGGGTTATCACTGGAATCTTTTTCTAAAAAAAGCAAGTACGCCACTGACTTTTTTTCTCTTGTTAGCAAAATAGTCTAAGCATTTTCATGCCGACTAAAAGTAATCTCTTGATATTTTGTCTATTTCGGCCTCCTTGATGAGATAAACACAATTTAATTAATTTGCCTTAATCCAAGTCTAATAGCAACCTTAACACAACCTTATAATTTTTTAATTTTAATATCATTAACTTGCGAAAGTTTTAAATAAGTACTCATTGATTCCTCATAAAAAATATGAAACAAAGTTTCTATAAACATGGGTATGGAAATGCATAATTTTAGAATTACAGGGTGTTAAAACTTTTTAAAATTGGATTTTTTGTAATTATCTTAAATACCATTATTTTTTTTATTTAAAATTGCTTGAATTGAATTTGAATACATAATTTATTAATTTTATTTTTACTTTAATTTTATTAATTGTGATTAATAAAATTGCTTTTATCTCATCAAGGAGGCCGAATTGGACAAAATATCAGGAGATAACTTTTAATTGGCATTAAACAGCCTATACAATTTTGATATCAAAAAACAGTCAGTGGCGCACATGTTTTTTTCTTCAATTCTCCACTGAATATCGGAATAACACACTGGTTGTTCCATTTAAAATAAAAGAGTAACTTGCTTTTGAAATGGCCAATGTTCATATTTTAATTTACAAATGCAAATTTTACTTTTGATTATTAATGGTCATTATAATTAAATGTCAGGGGTAAATTAAAATTAAGAATTAAGATAGCTTCTATTTTATATTTAGAACCTATTCTTCATTTTTAGAAAATGTTAAATATCTCAAGAACATTTCATTTTATAGTCATATGCTTCATTAATGAAACTCACCTTTATTTTTTTTTCGGAAATTTAATTCGAAAATCAGCTAATATATTTAATTACAAAAAATAAAACTTAAATTATCCACCAATTAATACAATGTGATCGAAAAAAAACTACATCAGAGATAGCTTGGAAATGAAGATCGCTATCATTTTATATGGAAACTTGTATTGGGAATGTCATCGTCATTTCCAAGCTAACTAGGCGCCTTTTTTTGATCATACGATGGAATGCTCAAAGCTTCTGAACTAACTAGTCTGGATTATGTTATGGAAATATTCTAAAAACAGCTTTTACAAACCCAATTACAATCGACAGCATGAGAAAAAGGATTGTGGCTGCTTTTAGAAGTAGGTCTAACATGGTATAACATCCCCATGCCCCATGTGCTTCTTAATATGGGAAAATCTTTTGAAAAGAGAATAATTTTATAGACTGAACAAGAAGGGAAGCATTTTGAGTACTTCATTTCTTCTACCTAATTTTTGTCATAATAATAATTATACATTTACATATCGACATCTAATTCTGTAATAATTAAAATGTTTTTACTCTACATTATTTAATTCTTGTTGGGCATATCAAAGATCACAGCTAGTAATCAGTAATACCAAAGGTAATACACAACGATCTACTGACTGTAAATCATAAAAATAAAAATAGAGATAAGCAACCTAACAACTAACAACATTTTGAAAAGACATATATTCTCTATTGAATATCCGATTAATACACTGGGTGTTCCATTAATATTTCGGTGCTCTATTAAAATCCACTAAAATAAAATACAGACTGTACTTTATAACATGATTAGGCATACACATTTTTTATACTATATAACATATATCTATCGATTTATGTTAATACATTAATACACATTAAATTATTCAGAACAGATGTTCAAAAAGTCCGCCATTGTTTTGAGTACATAAAATACACCTTTTTAAAACTGAATTGCAAAATTTGTATCTATAGTGACACTGTTTTTTAAGTTTTAATTTTTTTTAATCTATACGACAAAACGTTTAATAAGATACTCTATTGTAATGAATCGTTATATATTTTTTTACAAGTTATAAATTATAATTGAATAATAATACTTTGTCATTGTCAATAAACAGCGGCGGATAGAGAGGGGGGGCCATGGGGCCCGGGTCCCGCTAAAATCTATAAATTAGATTAAATATTAAGCTTTTGGGCTTTTCGCCCCCCCCCCCTAAAATAAATTCCTGTATCCGCCCCTGTCAATAAATCAAATTATTCAAAGAAGTTAAAAATTGCTGCTCTAACTCAGTAATTTTTCGAAAAAAAAACTTATTATTGCTTATATTGCTGGAAACACAGAATATCTAGCTACGCAATACAACAACTTGCGTAGCTAGTTATTCTGTGGCTGGAAAGCTAAAAAAGTGAGGATTTTTAATTTTTTAATGAAGTTATGGCCAACTATGGTTTCCATTAAAAAACATTAGTTTATGCTATAATATGTCAAAAATAACAGATTTCAGAAAAAACCTGAGGGCACAGTCTCATTAAAGCTATATATTATGATTATCTACAACTTTTATCTGATTCTTTTTTGTCTGAAATTGATTATATCGCCAATTGAGGAATATTTTTAAATAGCCGAAATTTACTTCTTTCGAAATATCTAGTAAGCCATAAACTTTTTCAAAAATTGAAAAGGCGCATTAATTTGACCTCACAAAAGCAATTATTCTTCCCCTATTTGACGGTAGTTTAAATACCTTGCATTTGACAGGCCCTCTAGGATCGGTAGTTTCCAAGATATACCCATAGTGATCATCGAAAAAGCTTACCCTGTATAGTAGCGTTACGAAATGGCAGTCATTTTATTTATTTAAATATGCAAAAATGAAAACTATGGTAACCGCAAAACAATTTCCGATGCACGTGATCAACGTAGAGTGACAAGCGATGGCGACAGCGCTGCCAGATTGTGATGGATAAGTATATAATTTTTTAAAAATTTTTACGTTTTATTTTTAATTTAATAACTAATATTTTAGTAATTAATTGATTTATTTGTTTTATAGCTTATAATAAGTAAATTTTACCATTATTTATTGTAGGACAACTTATCCTATTAGTTTTTATCTATTAATATCGACCAAAACTAAAGAATTTAAATAATTATCCATTTTATCATATCCATTGTTAATAATATTAATTTTTATTAAAATTTTTAAAATAATTGTATTTAACATTAAAAAATTTTTCAGTGTCTCCATCTTTAATTACCAAGTGAAAACAATAAATGGATAATATAGAGACCTATCACTTCAAGTTAGATAAGTTTCAATTTAGTCTTATAGATGTCGGGACTGAGTCTAATACAACAGTACTCTACAAAAAAATAATTTCGGCGGTAGAACATAGATGGCACCGTAGTTTTTATGACAATATGGTGAACGTAATGTTTATAAAAGATAAGTATAAAATTTTTATTATTACATATGTACATATTATATTAATCATTTAAAAAATTCTGTATAAATTATACATATATCGTAATAATAACACATACAACAAATAAATGTAATTGTTTTTCGAAATCTACATTTATATTTTAATTTTATCTACAATCGAAATAAAATATATTTAAAAAATTATAAATGTTTCCGTTTTGTAAAAAATAAATAAAATAACTAATTTTTAATATATTTTACCATTTTTTCCAATTTTTATATCTTATTAATCACATTATGGAGAAATATATATGTAATACAGATTATTTTTATTCTTTTCATTAATCATATTTTGGTTCAGTTTCTTTATTTTTGTTTATTTTTGTACCAATTTATTAACTTTATTTTTAATTATTTATTTTAAGATATTTTTATTTTGTATATACCTTCAGGTATTATCTTTCTTTTTTATAACAGGGTAAAATAAAACAAAATATTTTCAAAAATGTCTAATTTATTTTTGTTTTTTTTAATAATATAGATACAGTTACGACAACAATATTTATTATGTAAGGAATAGAATAATTTATACCGCGAGCGAGATCCACTCCCTCGCAGCTCAGACTTAGATATACAGTACGTTATTTGTTAAATTAAAATGTGAAAAATAAACATTCAAAACAATAATTATAAAAAAACACGACTACAAACATATGATTACCGTTCCGATTTAATCGAAACATTTTTTTCGTAACAAAACAAAAATATATATCTATTTTAATAAGCAAATCCGACCCTGGCACTTCCGGTAACATAAAATATTCTTTGTTATTAGTAGATTTTACAAACTAAGTGTAATATATGTTATATATTTCTTATATTTTAAGTATAGCCTCACTCAAAAGTGCCAGATACGACTATAAATTAACATACAATATTCATTTTCCCTTTTAATTGACAAAGACAAAATCGATATAGGCTCCTCTAAAAAAGTATCATTATAAAATACTATAGTTATAAAAAAAATCGATTTCATCCTTGCCAATTCCTTTATATAAAAGTTATATCTTAATACTAAAATATCTTCACGCGATGTCACACAAACTACAGACAAAAATATATTGCAAGGCTCCCGCCACAGGCACTGCCACGAAAATTCAAATAAAAATACACTACATACCGAACAGTCTTATCACAGAAAGAAAAAAAGGATTGCCTATAATATAAAACCTTACGCGAAATTAACGATATATAAGATATGAAGCTTTATAAATACGGTTATAAAAATGTGCCGGAAAAAGTTTTTGAATTCATAGAAAAAAAAGTATAACTATTTGGCTTTTTCCTAGTAAAATCACTGATTATTAAAGCCCTTAATTTATGATTCTTAATAGTTCAACTCAACTGAGCTACAATCAACTTTTTAGAAAATTGTTCAATTGAACCAACGCCAAAACTGCAGTGTCAAAAAACGCCTTAATTACAATAGAGGGGCGTAGAATAAAAGGGATCCAAGTGACTTTTTATTTAAATCGACTAAAGTTTCTACAGATTTAGATACTTAGGTGTCAATTTATTTGGCATAAAAAGGAATTGAGGAAACCTTAAAATTTATTATACATTATTGATACTTTAGAATTTATTACATTATTGATACTCTTAAGTAGGGTCACTATAGAATTTATTTGATTACTTTTTATATCAACTAAATTGGCACCTAATGTATTTAAATCTGTACTAAATTCCATTTAAAGAAGACACTGAATTGTGAAAATGAACAAGTGTGTCATTAAAAAGTCAAAGGTATTTTTCTCCTAAATGAAAGGTAAATCACCTTACTTTAGATGCGAAATTATGATGAACTATAGTTGCACATTTAAGTGTAGATCTTTTGCAACTATTATCAAGGAAGACCTTAACTTATACCACGCGTCAGATAAGGGTTTTTTCCTTAACTTGACTCAAACCTAACAAGTATTTTCTTCTTAAAAACCAAAAGTATCTACATTTTACCTTTTTAAGAAAAATAAAGTCACTGTTAACTGAAAATTTATTTTTTGTCTAAGAGATTTCTGATTAGTACTTTTTTGAACAAATTTCCACCTTGTAAGGTATAAAGTTAAATATTTAGTCAGTTATTTTTACTAGGAAAAAACTTGATTTTAATTCCTACAATATTCTTAGAATATCAAGAAATCCAATTTTACTGAAAATAAAGTCTTTTTTGGAAGGCATTTTTGATACTTCCGAAAATATTCCGAAAAACACAAAATACTTAAAACTTTCTCCAAAGCGAACGACGTTTTGAAATATACAAATAAAAATCCTTATACTTAAAAGAGTTCTCAGTGTCTATTGCACACAGTTTTATGACGCCCCGGCATACTGAATCACGCTGTACCGTACCGGGGACAACTCTATGGAGGCCTGCATCGATTTCTGGATCATCCTCGACCTTTTCCGGGGGGGCAAGCTCAACTCCGGGTCCGGCGAGGCGGGGGGCGAAAACGAGGGCGCGGGCGAAACAGGATTGGAATTGGGGGGCGTCATCACGCGTTCCTCCGCACCGTAACTCAAGTCCTCCAGGACCAGGGCGGCTTCCACGCGCTTCCGAATGTCATCCCCGGCGTTCAGGGAAGGGGTAGGAGCCGCGGGGAAATACACCGAGTGTCTTAGAGCCTGGGGTCCTTTGATTATCTCAAATAATCCGCTAGGTGAGTAGAATTCCGCGTTCTCCCTAGCTTGAGCTGCGGCTGCTAATAATTCAACACCCGCTGAAGAGGCTGGGTATGAAGGTTGGAGGTATGCTGGGGAAAGGCTACCTCTGGAGTACACGTAATAAAAATCGGTGTCGATGGGTTTTGGGTTGTCTAATGATAATTCTTCCTCACTTATTCCTCCCTTAGTGTCATCTTTGTCACTGGCTCCGGACTCACTGGAGGGATTTGAAGATGGCGGTGTAGGAGGCTGAGGTGGGTGTTGTACGCCTACAGAAACACTTTCTGAATGACTTTTTATATGAGCTTCCATACTTTTCTTTGAATTGAACGTATCGTTACAGATAGTGCATTTATAGACCTTCTCACCATAATGCGCTACTTGATGCAGCTTCAAAACGTGATTGTATCCAAAAGACTTGCCGCAGATTTCGCAGGAATAAGGCTTCTCACCGGTGTGCGTACGGGAATGGACTTTCAGTTGTTTACTGCAGGTAAAACCTTTCTGGCATACAGTACAAACATAAGGCTTCTCTCCCGTATGGGTGCGCATATGAATGACCAACTGACCCGATTGGATAAAGGTTTTAGAGCAAACTGTGCATTTATGCGGTCGTTCCCCAGTGTGAATTCTCATATGTCTGTGCAACTTTCCAGAATGCTCAAATGCGCGAGAGCATACCTCGCATTTGTACGGGCGCTCTTTGGTGTGGATGCGTCTGTGCACGCTCAGATTCTCCTTGACGCTGAAACTTTTGTCGCAGAATTCACACCTGAAAGGCTTTTCGCCCGTGTGAGTACGGTAGTGGCGAGTTAACCTCGCCGGTACCGCGAACGTTTTCGAACAAATGTTGCATCTGTACGGATCGCCGGCTGGGGTAACAACAGCGCCGCTTTCTTCCTTGACGTGCACGTTGCGATTGTGCACTTGCAATGCCGACTTGGAATTGAACATCTTGTGGCAAACGGGACACTGTTCTGCGGGTAGGGGCGGCCGAACCTGGGAGAAGGCCGGCATGGGCAGGTCCGGACTGCAGACGAGCTTCTTGACGGCGAGGTCTTCGGGGGTGGAGTGAAGGGTAGGAGATACAGGCAAAGCGGCTTGACTGTAGAAACCAACCATTTCAGGCACTGGCCAAGATTCTCCTGAAATAGATTTTGTATTATTAATATATGTAAGATAATAAATATGTGTGGGAAATAAAATTAATATATTTTTGGTACATTTATAACCTAGCCCTATTCTTCAGACGATTGTCAAAACACAATAGAGGTTTGTTCGAAATATACAACCGACTATCATTTTGTTTCTACGGATCGTTGATTTCCAGCTGGGCTAAAACCTGGTTATGGTTTATACTTCTGCGAACGATTAATCTAAATGATATCTAAATCAAGTGTTAACGAGTAAGCCCGCGAATGACATCACAATTAACCTTTGAGAGTTGTTTACTATTTATTTATTTAAAGGATTGGGAATAGTAAATAAAATAAATATTTTTCTTGTGTTTTAATATATATAATTATTCTTGTCTTTTTTGAAAAATTTGATTAAAACTAAATGAAGAAATTCTGGTACAAATGTAACATAAGTTCAAAATGTTTCAATATAAAATATTTTTACCACAAATAATGGTTTTATTCACGTAGATAGAAAAATATTTTGTTTTGCTTGCTCGTGCTTCAATTCTTAATCAAAAATGCGGATGACTCAAACTAAAAATTTCTTACTAGTACGCGGACTGTTTTGACAATTACAAATCAGTTGGAAACTCCAAATTCTTGTTCTGCAAACGCTGGACTTTTGATTAAAGATAACGAATGTTGCTTCTCCAAAAAAAACCTATATGGGTATTTCGCAACCGCAAGAAAATCTACAAAATAAAAGTTATTTTTTGTAAACCCTGCGAAACACTCATATAGGATTTTTTTGGAGAGATGAATCCGCCACATAGGTATAGATATTTTTTACAATTCAGTAATGTTGCTATTAGACCGATGTAAACTCTTTATGACTGCTCTGTGAATGAAGCTCTAACGCTGAAGTGAACGCTATTAAAAAATCTCCCGTCGCGTTATGTCAAATCAAACAAAATTAGCATTTTCTAAACAAACATAACTAGTAGGATTAGAACAGAGCAATACTCTTTCTCAGAATGCTTAAAAATAATGTACTTAATTACTTCGAGAAAATTGATATTTAAAAACTGTTCTTAAATGACAATAAAATCTATGTAGTTAAAGGGATGATAGAAAAGTTTAATATAGATTGTACTTTAAAAATTATAAAATAATTATTTCTCTTAAAAATCACAATCTTCCTTATTCTACTATAATTGAGCTTCAACCACAGAACAAATTAATGTTAACGCCTATGTATATCATGTGAAAGCTCTAGTCTTACCAGCTCAATGTCAAATATCGCAACAAGGAAATGCCATGTGATGTATGCAATATACAATACAGCAGCCATACTGTACTCCAAAAAAATAAATTATGACAATTATTGAATTTTGCTGCAGAATTAAATATTCGCATTATGACATTTTCATACAGTTATTAATAATTATATTAATAATTAAATTAAATAAGAAAAACGTCCCAAACATGCCTAGTGTAGCACGGAATAAATCTAAATCCATATATATTAGTTAACCTTTAAAAAAATATATCAGCTAAGAACACAAAAAAAAATATTTTAATTTTATAAATTTAAAATATATTTTCATAGGTTAAAAAAAATATTTATAAATCTTTTTCTGTATTTCCCGCATTATAAATGATACGAATTAATTTTTAATTTGAATAAATTATACATGTTTGTGTAAATATAAACAATTTTTTGGTTATATTACTGGCAATGATTTGCGTAACTAATTATTTTTTAGCGAATATTTTTTTTAAATAAATTTTCATAAATCTTTTAATTTAACGAAACACAAATCAATAAACTGTATATATATTAACATATAATTCCATGCATACTCATAGTCCTTAACGATATACGAGAAAAGTCCCAAACGAAATCAAAATAAACAAAAGGGAAAGTGTTATTGAACTTTTATTTTAGTATGCACACATTTCCTCAAAGGCGCGTGCGCAGTGAACACTAAAAAGGCTATTCCCCTTCGACCAACTTTTCGAAAACAGAGTATGCGTCACAACGCCATAAAGACACATTTATGCTAATGGGGAAAAAGGATTTTGACAGCTCTGTAAAAAATCAATACGACTTTCAGCACCGCAAAATAAAAAAAGTAGCCGTTATTTTGTTTTAGAGGAATTAATAGGTATTTTTAGGTACGTTTAAATACTTTAGTTAATATTTTTAGACTAAAAAAAAGCACCCACCGGTTTTTTTGGAACCTCCCGCCGATTGTTTGTCCTTTTTGCCGGCAGTGCAGCGCATCAAAAGGCTGCGAACCAATTTTTCGTTCGGGACTTTCTCTTTGGCCCCGTTCTGAGCCATGGTACGCACGGACGTCACCCACCGAACGAGTTGATACGCGTCGCGAAGCACACTGAGGCGCCGCGGAGATCCGCTGCGCTCAGTCGCAACGTACGAGCGCGTCGGACAGAGAGGGAAATAGGACACGCCCTGGTTACGGGTCACGGGGGGAGGTAGGACCGGGTTTTTTGACCCTACGCACCGCACGGCCGCGCTGTCGTTACCGAACGCGAGCATGGAACCCCATCGGTAGTATAGAGTACAACTGCCGGAGGGTCAACGAACCCGAGAGATTTTCGGCACAGGGACTCCTTTTAGGAATGAAGTTTGTGCGAGGCCTCGCTTTTGTTAGTTTCAGTGGCTCGTGCAGGCCTCTACGGCTTTCTTCGATCAAATACGCCATTAAGTAAATTGATGGTAAATGGTGCGTAATATATCCGAGGGAACGTCAAAAATAGTTGGCAATTATTGTGTTAATGTATTGCCTATAACTGAGGATTTATTTTTGTAGTTGAAATAAGTTGTTCAATGTTCATTCAAAAAACTAAAATCATTAATCGTGATTTTAGTTTTTTCACACAGAATTACAGAATTTTTTAAATTTAAATCACGATTAAATGAAATTTACTGATAATTAAGGCAAAAATAGTTTGCATTTTTTTTTATTCCTAATAGATTTCTCAATTTCTTATTCTTAAGTCTCCGTCTCCTCACGAAGGTTCGCGATTCAAATGGCTAACATGGTTCTGAATACTGCTGCTCTAAAAATGTCTATTGATGAGCATCCAAACTATCTTATGAGGTCCTTTAGCCAAGGGTTTTGGCCGGTCTATGAACTTGTATGTATCGCCTCTGGTTGCATGACCTATATGTATAACTCGTTTTCCGATGTTGTACAGTTTATAGCAGTTTTTTTTTATTTTCCCATAAGATAACGCGAAGAATTCTGAATTTGAAATCGATTAAACCAATTCTCGTGGCTGATGCGGAAGGAACAGCAACTCAATAATTTCCAAAATATAAAGTTTAAAACACTTTTTGAATAATAGGTACATTTTGTTGCTTCTTCATTCAGGAATCCATATATTTCACATTCTGAAGAATATTATGAACGGTGCTAAAACACTATTTAGATATAATTCTTTAGCAGCTTTTAAATCATATTTTTTTCACTATCTGTTAGTATTTCCTGAGTTTTTGCTGGATGAAGAAACTACGCAACAAATGATATGGAGTCACACTGTTCAAAAACCCCATAAATCTCTTAAATTTTTAAAACTGATTAAGTGCAATTTTGCAAAAATGGTTTTTTTCTAATAGATATTATAGATTATTTCACATCTTACAACTGATTTACCGTCGACAAAGTTTTTGATAAGCATTAGAAACTTCAAAATTAAACATCTGATTGTTTCAAAGAGATTGTTCCATGCAGTAAATTGTTTCTTTATTTCAAAGAACCTAAAAAGTTGTAACTTTCTTTTAAAAATACTATCAACTTGATTCCATTAATTCAAATATAGTCCAATGAGAATAATAAAATATCTTAAAACCTGTTTGAAATCGTTACATGGTAACGGTTCTCGTTTGTATATTATAGAGCAGAGCATTGACATTATCAAAGATTACGAATATTGAACACATTTTGATACAGTTCAACACACTACACCTACATAAACAAACTTACAAGCTAGTGGTAGAGTACCTCATAGAAATCTTTTTATTAATATTATTAGTTATCGTAAATCAATATTATCATTCCCAGCTTATTCAATAATTTCCAATTATGGTCTAGCCTCACTTATATATTTAGATAATCTCTTTGTAATTGAGCCCACTGTTGTATATTGTTGGCTATGCCAGTCCAAGATAGCCCTGGTCATTTACTAATATCCTTATCCCATCTTAGATTTAGTCTTTTTCTAGGTCTCTTAATTCCTCGTTCCATTCTGTAATTTTTGTCGTCCACCTGTTGTCAATCCATGTTACCAGGTATCCTGCAACTTCAGGGATTTGATTCTGTGGATGACATCTATTATCTGGGTCTTTTGTCGCATCCATTCCATTTTTTACAGTCTTTTCAGCATATTTCGTTCCATCAAGCATTATGCGACCTGTAGTTTCCTTATAATGTAGGTTTTAAGTCTCCAGGTTTCGCATCCACTGGTTATGGTAGAAACTGATACAATGTTTTCTTCTTAGTACTTCATTAGTCATCGTAAATATACCATAAATATTTTTCAATAGGTATATTCAAAATAAAATCTCAAATCAAATGATAACAAATATCAGACTAAAAAGACCTTCACATCTTGCTAAACTAAAACCAACTCTGTATTTACCTAAGATTCCAGATAATTTAACAAAAATACAATGATTTCGTAATCACCTAATACTTTGTATAATACTTTAAACACTTTAAAACGTATAAACACTTTTATAAAATGTAAACAGTTATTTTTCTAAATGAATCTAATTCATTAAATAAAAAAAATGATACAGATAAGAAATTCAAAATTATTTTTAAATCTAATTCATAATTAAATAAGTTTATTTTTAGAATTTTTGACTGTTAACTAAATTAAACGAAAAAAAATGCATAAAAAAAATAAATGAAGAATGAAATCATCACCTGTCATGTTCTTAGAAATAAGAAATAATAGCAAATTATACATACAGAAAAAACATACTTCAATCGTAAAATAAAAATTCAAAGCCAAAACCCCACCAGAGAAAAAAATAAACCAATTATTGCCAACATAAACAATCCATTTCAGCCAATTAATTCACGACCCAATAGACAATTTAATTTTAATGTTAGGTGGTTAGGGACGACGTATTATTTTATCTCCGCGTCTACGAGCAATTCCACGGCCTACGCAAACTCGCCATTAAATTGGAAAATTTATTTGCTCTCGGGTGGAAAATATTTTTCCATCTTGACCGACCTTCTTTCTTATTGACTGAGTGACGCCCCATCATCAAACCAGAACGAAAAACAACCTGTCCCTAAAGATCAAAAATCACATAGGCTACGGAGTCAACAACAAAAGAACGTCGTCTATTTTTGTCCGGACGCTCCACGAGCCACGAGCGCCAGTGCATCCGCAGAGGCGAATGACTGTGGCGTTTCGCCTCGTGTCGACTCGGGTCAACGTTGCCGGTGTTCCCACAAAAACCGGTTTAGGCAGGCATCAAGTAAAAAACCATTAACTGTGGTAATTATTTAATTACATTTTTGCTGGGGAATTACCTAGCCGAAGCATCATTTTGTCCTACATAATTACTGTTTTGAAACCATTTAGTGTGAAATAAAACATTTATAATTTTTTATTATTGACATTTTGAGAAAAATTAATTCTTCATAAAAAATTTTGCTTGTTCTAAAATGGTTAATCCCGCTTACCTATACTTTTCCAAATTTCCATACCATCAAAGGAAATTAAGAAAAACATGAAAATATGGTTGAATGTTTTCTAAAAAAAGTAAAGTCCTAAAAAATAAAAGGCGTTTCTATGGTAATATAACTTCGTTTTTATTTTTTGATAGATTGTTATCCGTACAATTTTAATTAACGTAATATTTTTTGTTATTTTAGAATATTAAAGAAGCAAAAAAAAATATTTAGTTCAATGTTACGGAAAAGGTGATAGTTATCGGAAAATGTAATACTTTAACAACAGCAAAGAATATGACATTAATCGAAATTAATTCGAATTGATATTACCATAGAAACGCCTTTTGATTTTTAGGACTTTTAGGAAAAAAATCAACACTATTTTCATGTTTTTCTTAATTTTCTCTGAAACGGTATGGAAATTTTGAAAAGTATAAACAGGATTAACCATTTTAGGACAAGCCCAAATTTTTAAATACATTTTTTCCCAAAACGTCAATAATAAAAAAGTTTTTCCTCTTGTAAAAACAATCCGGGGACCTGTAGAGAAACTAAAAGAAAAGTGTTTGAAAGGTTGTCTAAGTTGACCATAATGTTGCATAGTTCAGTTAGAGCTCCAGATCGTCGCCACCTGTCACAAGATTGACAAGTGACATGCCAGCAAATTATTTGAACTTTCTGTAACATACCCTATGTTTTTTTTAATGAGTAGATTATTCAAATGGTTATGGCGGATAAAATGAGCGACCTGGCAACGACGAACGGTATCTCAATATAGAACGCCACGCGTTGCGCTCCGCAGTCATTCGCCTCCACGTGCCTCCGTTGGTTGATTTTTTACAGCGAGCGCCGACCTCGACAATCCGATACGAGACGTAGGTCGCGGGCTACACAGTCCCCCTTGTGTGGCAACGTTGCCACATCTCCACGCGCTACATTGAACGGCCAGATATAAGTATTTTTAGATAAATGTGTTTTTAATTTTGTCAAAATCGTGGCGCGTTTATCGTAAATTTAGTAAATATTTGGTATTTTTATCGTATCTAAATGTCGTCCTATACGAAATAAGATTTATCTGCATCGTGTAGTTGACCCAAAAAGAAAATTTTCCACTGGCGACTCATTCTATCTAAATTTCATCAGCGTTCTTGATCTGAAAGTTTTAATATCTTTTTCCCGAGAAGAGTATATATCTCGACTATTAATCTTAGTAAATAATAATATTGTTTGAATTACAATTACAACTAAAATACACTTAACAAGGGGTTTCTCGTTATCACCTGATATAAGTAATAAATCCTTATGAAACCAAAAAAAAAACTTGTTTGTGAAGTTGGCCTAGAACAAAAATTCCACTGGCAACTCATAGTCATCAGTGTACCAGATCTAAATTAGTGCGGTATCTTTCCTACAAATCATTATTGCAAACAATCTGGTTGTAATTAAATTCGTAATGACATTTACATGTTTCGATGCGTTTCAATGAGCCCAAATATTTCCGATGTAATTTTAAAATGTCGAAATATACATATATTTCTTTTTGGATTATAATATAATTTTGAAGATTTTGAAGTCCTGCAAGCACAAATTAACGAATTAAATACAGACAACAATAAGTATGTCTCAAAATAAAATTAGCAAAATCTAAAATTATGTACAACGAACTAATAGAGAGAAAAAATTATCTTCTAACAAAAAACACTACGGTGGAAACACTAGAAGATAATGTATATTTAGGACAACTAATAACACAGCCCAGAAGAATTAAGTTGTAGTTCCATGGAGTACTTATGGAAGCAACCCAATCATATTCAAAAAATATCTAAAGAAGAAAACATTCGACCAATGTGTACTATCAGTCATGACCTATGCATTCAAAACCTGGACACTTAAAATGCACATAACTCCAGGTCGCACAACG